CACACACAGGTGTACCAGAAAAGTTGCATAGAAATAGAATTTCTGAAATAATGTTAAGTACTCATTTAAAGCACTATTTCTCCAACTAACCCAACTGTTCAACATAGCTGGACATTGTTTAAAGGCAGATGCCCTAGCCTCACTCCTAAAGAAAATTATTCCACGGCTTCTGGGACAGAGCCCAGGGAATTGTAGCTTTATTAAGTGCCCCAGATAAGACTTGTGTAATCATACGAGTTTAGTAAGCAGTGATTTTTAAAAACTCTGTATAGTTACTACTAATAAGTACATATGAAATATCTTCAACTTTTTAAAATCAATCTAAATTTTCATGCTGTTCTCTAGTATTTTCTTATTTTTCAAGCAGATTAACTTTGCTTGCATATTAGTTGACTTCACTGAACATGCAAAACTAACCAAAACACACTGTTTGTAGGTCTTACTTCCATGCACAGTGGCCAAGCCTATGTTTTCTGATGGATACAAGACATTTAACGAAGACAAGTTTTATTTTGGAGGAGGCTAATGTTAAAGGGTTGAGATAGTCACTGAAGAGTAGTAGGTTAAATTAAATGTTTTCAGGAGGTGAAAGTGTCAGAGTAAACACTATCTGTGCTTTCTTCTTCAGTTCTAATTCTGAGGGGTCTTTTAGGATCTGTGCATTTATTCATCTCTAAATTAAGGAGTGTGCAGAATTTAACTCATTGTAGAACAGAGACCACCGGATAATTACCATTAAACTGGTGATACTCAGGGATAGAGATAAGAATGATGATATTAGCAGATTCTTTATTTACTCACCACTTGACTGCTAGGAATGTAAGAATTTTTTAATCTGTTTGAGTCTACAAATATCCGGACTTCTAAGTAGAGGATTGGTTATGTTAGTTTACCTAATGGGACCATGATTTCTCTACTTCCCTGATTCCACCACACTGGGTGCTTTTCTGGTCCTAGAACATGCTAAGCATTTGCCAGCCTCAGGGCCTTTGCACTTCCAACTGCCTATAACACTCATCCCACGTATCTTCAATGCTTGATTCCCAACTTCCTTCAGGTCCCTGATCAGAGGTCGTCTCATCCAAGAAGCTATCTTCCACCACCTTACATAAAATAATTTCCATTATACTCAATCCTGTTAGTCTGCTTTGCTTTCCTTCATAGCACTTATCACCATCTAATTTATTATGTATTAACTTGTTGGTTGATTTACTATATTTTCCCCAACTATCATGTAAGTACCAAAAGGGCAGGGCCTTTGATTTTTTTGCTAGTGAATCTCAATGCCAGAATCAATGCCCAGTATACAGTGACAAGACAAATTAGTGGAATACATGAATGAGTATGTGCAGTTGTTTGAGAAAAATATGATTAACTCTTAATATTTGTAATTTAAAAAGACATCTCAGGGGCCTCCCTGGTGGCGCAGCGGTTGAGTGCTGGGTTGCGAAGCTGCCCGCAGCCTCTGCAGCGCTGGTTCGATTCCCGGCTGCTCCCGGCCACCAGAGGAGGGTCCCACATGGCGCGCAGACCTCTCCTGCCGCCCGCTGCTCCCCTCAGCAGTGTACTTTGGTCCTTCTGCCTGCTCTGCTCCCCGCTCTGGCTCTGGTGAATTCTCTCACCCTCCCGCGCTTCTGACTGTACCCAGTGCATGTAGAAACAAAACAAACGAACAAACAAATAAATAAATAAATAAATAAATAAAACATGCCTCTATTTAAAAAAAAAAAAAAAAAAAAGACATCTCATATAGAAATAAATGGATGCATTTACGAAACCAAAGAATAGAAAATTTGATTAAAATGTCTCATCCTATTACCTGAAAGGTCATCCACAAAAGACACCTATAACCTTGAGCAAAATAAAACACACGGAATGACTAAAAGTAATTGTCCTAGGCAAAAATGAGGAAGGTGGGAAGAAAACGAATTGATATACTCTGGCATGATAAATACAGTACTGTTTTCTTTGTAACTTTTAAGGCGCTTACCTGTTTGCCATAATTAGACGTAAGTCTATCTTTATATAACCAAATGGCCCAACTTATATAACTTCTATATCTTTTTATTCTCCTATAATGCCTCTTTGAAAAGTGTTGCCTATAGTACTGAATTAGAAAACACATTTATATAATAAAAAATACCTGTGGGGAGCCTCCCTCGTTCCAAATCTCAGAGCTATCAAGCTATCACCAGGGAGCCAACCCACACGTGCCTCCTCCCCCAAGCAGTGTATTTCAGTCAATCTGCCTGTGCTGCTCCCCACTCTGTCTCTGGTGACTCCTATCTCTCTCTCTCTCACACACACACACTCTCTCTCACACACACACACACACACGTACCTCTGGCCTACACCCTAGCTCTTGTATGCATAAATAAATAAAAATAAAATCTTTAAAAAAGAAAAATGCCTGTGGGTATCAAATAAAATATATTTTTATAAATATATGAATAATTAATATGTAATGTATTCAGAGAATTATTTTTAAAATATGTATTATACCCTATGTTTTATGTACTTTTGCAGCAAAATAAAATCTAAATCTAAATTGATCATACTCTATGGGGGGTGGGGGGCGGGGAAAGGAGGATTGGGGTCAAAGTAAGGGGGTTGTAATTGTATGGGGAATATAAAAATAAAATTTAAATAAAAAAATAAAAGCTAAAAAAATAAATAAATCTAAATTGATCACTGTTGTGTTAGAATGGACATGCTTGCTGGTCACAAATCTTCATAAAATTTAACAATTTTAAATTTATAAACTCATAAAATTTAACATGTACAAACTCTCTTAAAAATATTTCGTTCTAATTAGCAATAATTGCATCAACGTTGTGGAGCATAAAAAGCAAAACATCCCAATCTGAAAAGTTCACAACTGTAAAAAAAGATGATGCTACTTCAGTCCAGACTTGCCAACTGGAATTATCTTCCTCCTGCTATCCAAAAGATTACCTACACTTTGATGGGTTTATAGAAAAGTATTCCACGTGTATGTTTTTAGGTTACTTCCAGAAAATACAGAGAGACCTGCTAGGATAAATGTACCCTAAAGCTGATAAAAACTCAAGCTTCAGGACTCTTGCTTGCTCTGGCAGGAAGCCTCAGCAAATTACTCACATGTTCTTTTGCTTGCAGCCCCCCCACCCCCACCCCCACCCCCACCCCACCTAACGCAATTGCATTAACTAGGGGCTCATAAAACCTGGAGGACCCCTACCAGTCCTCCATTAGAAAATTAACATTAAGAAAACTAGGCTACAATTTGCAAAAATAATCAAAAATCACTTATTAATTTCAAGCATTTCTCAGCAGTCTGAGGGCCTAGGTCTACTAGGATACAAAATTAAGTCTTGGAAACCATAACTAGATAAAAATTGCTTTCATTAAATGTAAGTATACTTAATCCCTCAGAGTTATTACCCATAAAATTAGGTAATGCCTCGTAGCGAGCCCAAATGGCTAGTACCGGGAACTTATTTTCAATTGGCCATATTGGTCCTAAATATAAACAGGTTACACTAAAAACCAATCCGTTTTCATTCTGAATTCATTTAAGTCCTATTCTATTACAAAACTAAGAAGCACAGTCAAATGTTAACTGTGATTTAATGAAGAAATTACAGTGAACCTTATCCTATATTTTTAACCTTATCCTATATCATTTTTGATACGATGATCAAAACAAACTCAAAAATCTGCTGTCACCTCAGTTTGGGGCTACTGAAGTTCTCAAACTCTAGCAGTGATTTCTTAAAGGCTACAGAGAATTCGAGAATTCGGGGTGGAAGTGGAGGCACACTCATGCAATAATAATCCGCGCTCAGATCCCCACCCTGACGCCTACCCTCTTCCCGTGTTTGCAACACCAGCTCTTCCCCTCCGGTGTGTAACACGCATTTGGCTTTTCGTTGGCGGGTAAAATGGTGCTAATAGCTGGTAGTTGCTGGTTGTTTTTTTTTAAAGGATGACAGCATGTGTTGTGATACGCCTACCCTACCAGCGGCTTTACTTTGGGGATGATCCTTACCCCCCACTCCTGGACAGATCCTCAGGGCCTTTTTGCTGCCCCCTCGGGGTCCGCCAACTTGGGGCTGGTCCCGGGCGGGCCACTTCACTAAGAGAGGCGCCGGCAGCCCTGGCCAGGCGGAGACACCCTCTGAAAGGTCTCCTTGGGGTGACCACAACGACGGGTAGTTACCAGGAAAAGCAAAAGGAGGCCTCTGCGCACTCGCAGCACGATGCAGCCCGTCTCCGGCCGGGACGCGGCCCAGAGGAGGGGGAAGGGAGTGTCGCCACCGAATCCCAAGAAAGGCCGCGGGACCCACCTCCGGCTCCTTCTGGCTCCCGCCCTCGGCCCCACCTCCCCCGGCGAGCACAAAGCCGCTCGGAAGGCGCAGGCCAGGCCTGCTGGGAGGCCGCCTGGACCACACCGGCCCCAGGCCCGGCGACCCGCGCGCGCCTCAGGCCGCGCAGGCCGCCTCTCCGGGCCTCGGTAGTGCCCGTCCGGGACGCGAAGGACGCGCTCCTCGTGCGGCCCGGCGGCCCGAGAGCCCGGGCCCATCCCCCTGCGCCCCCGGCCTTCCCACCCGCGCGTCCCCCGAGGCCGGGCGCGGTCCCCCCAGCCACGCCCGAGGTGGCGGCCTCCCGCGTGGAGCGCCCGGGCTGCGCCGGCCGGAGGGGCCCTCGGCCTCGCGGGGACCCGCTGCAGCCGGGCGGACGCGGGAGGGTCGATCGGGCGCGGGCACCCCCTTCCGCCCTCCTGAGGCGCACGGTCGGGGCTTCAAATCAGTTCCCCGCATTGCCCGGGGGCCCGGCCCTGCACCTGCATGAGGTGGCCGAACAACGCAGGGCAGGCGGAGGGGGTGGGAGTAGAGCAGGATGGGGTTGGGGGGTGGCGCGGGGTGACCCCGAGACCCGGGCCGCCGCGGGGCCTCGCCGCCCGTCGGGGCGCGCACGCGGGCGCTTCTACACGCACTCTCGGCGGCCCGTGCGGGAAGATGGCCGTTGGGCTGAGTATAAAGGCTCTTTGTTGCGCTCACACAAAAGCAGCCGAGACCCGCTTTGCAGCAGGCCGTCTGAGCGCATCGGAGGAACTCAACTGAATTTCCAAATGGCCCCCGTAGGCTGAGGCGGTGGGAGCAACGAAAAGGCAGAGGGAATCCCAGGCCTGCCCGCCCTCATTTCCAAAACCTCTGTCAATCCCCGGGTGCTCGTCCTGGGAGGCCGGGGCTGCGCTCATTCGGAAGGGAGGAAGCCAAGAGGAAAACCTCCTTTTACCATGCAGGCCCACAGGGGGTATTAAACATTCACATTCTTGTAGAGTTTCTTCCCTTCACTAGGGTAGAAACAGTATCTGGAAAAGTTTGGATACACCAAAAAGAAAAAGAAAAAAAAAAAAAGAAAGAAAAAATATCAACAATAGCAACTTAAAAAAAAAAAAAACATAACAAACCAGTTGCCATCAGCCCAAAGTGGTAGTAGCAGCAGCCGGCGCGTGTGATCCACTTACTTGTCCGACTCTTGTGACATGTTTGATCCAATGAACTCGCTCCCCTTTTCCTGGAGCCTCAGCCTCTGGTGAAACTGGACTTTCAAGTCTGTGCAGGTGAAGGTGTGTGAGAGCGCCCGAGATGGCAGAACAAGAGCTACAGGTAATTCTGCTTTTCCGTCCCCCCTCACCACTCTCGCTCGCTCGCCCGCTCGCGCCCTCACCTAGCCGGAAAGGTGGGATAAGGGGGGGGGCCCTCACATGGGGCCCGAGCTCGGAGGCGGCCGGGCGGCGCGGAGTCCTCCCGGTTGCTGGCAATGGGCAGCCACAGAGCAGAAAGTGGCGGACTTGGGCGGCCACAGGTAACTTTCTCGCAAGGAGCTGAATTCTTTCACTAAAGGGTACAAGCCCGAGGGACGAGCTGCACGGTGATTGGCTGTGGGGCTCCCTCAGGTGAGCTGCCATTGGCAGAGGCGCGCTCAGGTAAGGCCCTTCTCCAAGTGCAGGTAACTCACTCCGAAGTTTACCTGAGTGGAGCGGCGGCGAGCTTGCACCTCGGCGGCGGCCCATGGGAGCTGAGGGTCAGTGCTTTGGGGAGACTTCACGCTACGTTTTCCTTCTTCCCGGAGCCCGTCTGGAGAGTGGGGGTGGGGAGACCTGGAAGGAGAAAAGGAACCTGGAAAAAAAGTCAACACCTGCAACCACTAGGGATTGTGGGTCGAACGGAAGGACGAGCGAGGGCTGAACGCAGGTATCCCAAGCCAACCGGAATCGAATGCTCAGCACGACCACGAGGCATTGAATCCCCACATTAAGAGGACTGTTTGACAGTGTCAGTAAAGTACGGGAATGATGTTTACTTTGTGCTCAGAAGGGGTGGGGGCTGGGGGTGGGCACACAAAGATTGCCGGGTCTGTTGCGTAATTGCATTTTTAACATTCTTATCCACAACAAATACTTTTCGTGCCCCGATGTGTAAAAGATAACAGGTATATTACAGATTTTCAAGTAGGTAAGCATCCTTTCATGAGTTGGGAGAAGGGGGTGGGGTGGGCGTGAGGGCTGGGGGTGAGTTGGCATGGTTTTGATGTCGTGAGGTTTGAATAGACTCTAAGATGGCCCAGGCGCACCCCTTCCATCTCAACACTGCAGCATGGGATTCCAGAACAAACAACGACTGAATCTGTTTCATAAACCTGTTGTCATTCGACGTTTCTAGGCAGGCATCAACATTTACATTGTAATTCAAGAGAAGCAGCAACTACAAAGGTGCTTTATCCTGCCAGCTTAATATGGTTGCTACGGAAACAATTCAGGATGAAACTTTTTTGTGGTTCCTTTTCTTTTGGTTGCAAACAACACGAATTAGCAAAGGTGTAATTTATAACCACTGCTCCTAAAGAGTGTTTGTGGAAGTTCTGACAGGACTGTAGTCCATACCTATGAATTGTAGCATCAAGAAGGAGGGCATGAAAACCTCACTATATTTTATTTCAAGTTGTATTAAGTTGCTGGAGTCCGTACTTCTATTTTAATTTTTATGGATCAGTTATTTCCTGGAAATTACATTATGAGACAAGGCATAATTGGTCCATGCTTTCACTTCAGTAAACGAATTTAAAAATTTTAGTTTGCAAAGACAAAATAAGTACACTCACTTTTTAAAGATCATATTTTAAGAGAATGCAATACTCACCTCTCCTCTACCATCTTCACCCCTTTCTAGAGGCAATTACCTTCCACCTTTAGCTCTCTCTCTATTGTTTGCATCCCTTTTCCCAAACAATTTACACAGCTCTCTTAATTTATCAATAGTTATAGTGCTTTGACCAGCTGTTGCCTAGATAAGGATTTAGCTCTTTACACACCACCAGTTTTCCCTTCCATCTTCTGACATAGCTCTTTTTCAGGAGTAGTGCATGATCAGTGACTACAAATACCATTCACAACAGAGACAACTAGTATGGTTGTTTTCCTTTTGTATTTACTTTTATAAAAACTTTATGTACTTTGTTTATTATGCACCCATCTTGATATTTTTTCTGTAACACCTATCAAATGATTATCAAATTTATTTTCTAAATGATCAAGCAATTCTATTTCCCTCCTGGAAAAATTCCTGCTAAAAGTCTTCTGTCCTCACAAAACCATTAATTCAAAAGGATACCTGCACCCCTATGTTTATTGCGGCACGATTTACAATAGGTAACATGGAAACAACCCAAATGCCCAAAAAATAGATGACTGGATAAAGAAGATGTGGTACATATATACACAATGTAATATTACTCAGCAATCAAAGAAGATAAACTCATGCCATTCACAGCAACCTGGATGGAGCTGGAAGGGATCATGCTCAGTGAAATAAGCCAGAAAGGAAAAGAAAAATATCAATGATTTCACTTAGGGGAAGAATGTAGGGGAACAAATAAGGGATCGGGGTAAAAATATATAATAAATTTAAAAAACAAAATTAATAGACAACTGTAAATTAGAGACATTCTCCCGGTGAGGGGGCCAGGATCAAAATGGGAGGGAAGAGCACAAGGGAATATATATGGTGATGGTGCACAGTCGAATTGGTGGTGTGAATTTTACGGGGACTACACCTGAGAGGAGAAAGCATGCATTGTACAAAAAAAGGACGAATGATGTAAAATACATATAAAATTTAAAAAAAGTCTTCTGTCCTCTTGTTGCACCTAGTCGTCGTAATTTTCAGTCATCCTGCAATATTGCAGCTCCAGAGTATGGAACCCATTTCTTTCTCCTGTGCCATCTTTCTTGACTACTGCTATTTTGACTGGTTAGATTAGTGAAGAATAGAATTCCCATTGACCATTTAAAATTGTCAACCACAAAATTACCTCCACTTCCCGATTGTTTTCCAAAGCAAGTGTTCCAGTAAAAGCCTGAAAGGGGTAAAAGGTAAAACCTAAAACGTCTGTATACAATCCCAGCTTTTGATGGAGAATTTCACCAAATGTAGAATTATTAAGTGGAAGTTTTTCATTCATAAGCTCATAAAAATCACTTTTAACTTTTTTAGCATCCAGTATTGCTGTTGAGAATTCCAATGCCATCCTGATTCCCATTCCTTTATGACTTAGAATTTTTCTTTCTTTTTTAAAGATTTATTTATTTATGCATGCAAGATCTGGGGTACAGGCCAGAAGTGTGGGGGATGAGAGGATTCACCAGAGACAGAGTGGGGAACAGAACAGGCAGATCAACTGAAATACACTGCTGAGAGTCAGGTGAGGTCTGCTGTACTGTGCTGCAGAGGCTGCAGACAGCTTCATAGGTTGCGTCTTAACCCCTTGGGCCACCTGGGAGACCCCAGAATTTTTCTTTTCTTTATGGAAACTTGTAGAATAATCTCTTTACCTCTAATATTCTGAAATTTCATAATTATTTAAACTGCATCCTATGGGAGGTTTTCACTAGATGTCTGCAAACCTTTGACTCTTCATTCATACTGAAGAGTGAGGTAATAAAAGCCCACCAGAAACTATGTAAAAGAGTGGGAGAGAGTGTGCTGGTTCACCAGTGGGTTTGCTCTATGGTGATCAGATGAAAGCTCATCTTTCCATATGAGCTCCCAAAGGTCAGTAACTAGAGGTATTTCCTTTGGGGCTGTTCAGTTTCTCAAGAGAAATATCTGCCATCTCTTGCCTGAGGGGAAATTCACCTAGCTGTCGATATTTGGGAAGCAGTGCAGGGAAGAGGTCCAATGAGTCACTGCTTAGTATGCAGTCTTTCTTGTTCTTTGCTTTCTTGTAGGTGCCAATTCTAGCCTCTTCCCTCTGTACTCTGCACAGCCTCTCCTGTTTCTCCTGCTGGAGGTGTGATGGCCTGGCTGCACAGAGGGGGGCAGGCGACCCAAGAATCAGACCACCCCCAAATGCCCACATTCATTCAACCCTCTGCCTCTCTCTTCTGCCTGTCACTTACCTCATTTCTGGGATCCTGGGGTCTTTCATCCATACCTCCCACTGATGATCGCTGGCATCTCCAAGACCCAAACCCCTCTGGGATTTGGTAGGGTAATTGGGTTTCCATACTGACCCCTAAATGACATTACAAGGTCATTTCTGCTCTTCTGTTAAACACTTTCCACTCTTCCATCCATCCTGTATTACAGAATTGTGTGAAATATATCTTTTGCAGATGACCCCTCCTCCATCCTGTTTATTTCTTTTTTTTTTTTCTGTGCAGCTTTATTTTTTTTTTAAGATTTATTTATTTATACAAGAACTGGGGTGGGCCTCCCCGGTGGCGCAGCGGTTGAGCGCTCTGCCCGCAGCCTCTGCGGCGCCGGTTCGATCCCTGGCTGCTCCCCGGCCACCAGAGGAGGGTCCCACATGGTGCGCAGACCTCTCCTGCCGCCCGCTGCTCCCCTCAGCAGTGTACTTCGGTCCTTCTGCCTGCTCTGCTCCCCGCTCTGGCTCTGGTGAATTCTCTCACCCTCCCGCGCTTCTGACTGTACCCAGTGCATGTATAAACAAAAAAAACAAACAAACAAATATAAATAAATAAATAAATAAATAACATGCCTCTATAAAAAATAAATAAATAAATGTTACAAGAACTGGGGTACAGTCAGAGGTGCGGGAGGGTGAGAGGGTTCACCAGAGACAGAGCGGGGAGCAGAACAGGCAGACGGACCAAGGACACTGCTGAGGGGAGCAGCGGGGGAGGCAGGAGAGGTCTGCCGTGCCATGTAGGTTTCTCCCTGGCTAGGAATCAAACCCGTGCTGCAGAGGCTGCAGACAGCTTCACAGTGCTGTGCTCAACTTGCTGGGCCACTGGGGAGGCCCCACCCTCTTTATTGCTATAGATCCTGCAGGTTCTTTTTTACTGTTTTTTTTTTTTTTTTTTTCAAGAGACCATAAAGAGAAACAAGTGTGTATCGGTTGATCTATCATCTTTAATTTGAAGCCATTCCCAGAATTAACCAAAAGTTTTTACCAATTTCCCCCACATTATTTTGTGCAAACAAATCCAGCACTTTTGCTCAAATCTTCCCTTTTATTGGTCTATAAAAGTCAAGATGTCTTTCTTCCTCTCTACAGCTAACAACTCAGTTTTGAGTAGATGGTTAATCTCCCTTGCTTAACTAACTACTTCTATTTTGACTAGTTAGATTAGTGAAGAAGGTCCTCACGATCCATTTTATATTGTCAACCATGAAATTACCTCCATGAATAAATAATAACATTTCTGCCACACCCATCATGAGAATGGACTA